TGTGATATACCTTTTATTTTTCAATTTATAAAAAATATGTAAAAGAATATTACCCTCGTATAGACTCCAAACAACGTCACCTATTTTTAAGACGTTTCTTCATATAAGATAAAAATATCAACCATTGCAATAATTATATGCAACCTTCTAGATTCGCATTGAAAATTTATTTGAAAAATGTTAATATATTTTACTTGTTTAAAGTTTGAAAACAAGTGTTCTTTGGGTAAGGTCCAAAGGTCATGTTTTATACCAAAATTTCAACACAGTTAATGTCAAGCTATAATTAGTATACCACTAGCCTTGCAAGTATTTTTGCAAGCATTTTTTTTTATGTAATAGAGAAGTTTTGCTGTTTTATTAGTTAAGAGTATTATATATTTCGTAGTTTGAAGTATTTTTAGTTTCCCAAATATCTACTTCTTTTTCCAAAGGCCTAATTTTTCTACTTTTTTTCTCGTGTATTTCAAGCAAAATTTTGATTTGAAAAGTTTTTTGTCAAGTTTCGAGCACCGTGTCTTAGATATGTGAATTAAAAATTAGAACTAAGTAGAAATACATATAATATCAGAAAATATTGAAAAACAACAGGTTTTCGAACGACACTGCTTGGTCTTTTTTTTATCACCCAACAGCGGTGAACGAACGCCGGGGCCAACGCTCCGCTTCTTATACTGAGAAATGAATTTTCATACACGCGGAAATCTAAATGTGGGTTAAAAATATCAAATTATATATATCTTAAGACTTTACGTATTAACATGCTCCGTTTTACTCCGCGCTACATATCATGCTCTCGTGAACTTTATCGCAAACGGCCGTTCTAAAATTGAAATTAGCTCAATTTATAGTACCGCTGTTTTGAAGCGTTTAGTAATCATTAAGTTTCATATACTTGTATTTACACTATTTCTTTCTTAATTCTTATAATTTAAAATAAATCAATATGATATTTAATAAAATTAATAAGCAGTTTTAGAATAATATTTTGTAATATTCATAGATAAATGACGTAATATTTATTTTCCATTTTATATAAGTCCACAGCAGTTTCTCTTTGATTCAATCTGTCCAAATACAATCACGTATTGATTACCGTTACTCCGTTACCGATTGACATATATATCATATAAGTCAATTTCTTACAAACATATTGAGATGGAAAAGATGGAAAATATTTATTTAAATTATTTCAACTAAACAATAAGTAAAAATAATTTTATAATTGCATTGTTCACCGCAACGTTTATAATCACACAAACAAAAATGCGTGGTTAATTGAAGGTTAGTTTTTAAACACACACTGATAAAGTACGCCAGGCATAATAACACAACAATAAACAACACGTGTCACAAAACTTATGAACTACGACAATATTTTCCTTACATATTTTAATTATGTTTTAATATAACTAGGTAAATATTAGCTTAAAACTCATAATTATTTTATAACTGCTGATAATAATTTCCTTAATTCATCAGAATTTGATAATTTAAACTTTTATACCTCGCATTAACTGTCATTAACGCCGTGACATATATTTGGTTTGATGAAACTCACCTCGAATATTATTTTCATGAACGTTTCATGATACAATAGTTTTATTTTATTTTTATTAGTATATTTTATATTTATAATGTTTTATTTAGATTACAGCGGTCTTTCAGTGTAAGGGTAAAAAATATTAATATCAATACGTCCTTACAAACTTTTATATTTCAAATATGTCTAGTTTGTGTCCGGTTTCGTCTACGTGTAGTTTTAATTAGGTTCAAAGAGAAATTAATTCTCTATGCTTCAAAAAAATACGTATGTGTATTAATTTGACATGTCACATTATACAAAATACAACTTTTTTTATTGGTTCCGCTTAGAACTTTACAGAATTTGAAATAAATTATAATCTTTACCTTACCTGATATCTAAGCTTCATGACTTAAGAGTCTTACCAAAATCCGTTCAGCAGATTCTGTGAAAGAACAACAAATTCATAAAACCTAATAACATTCGCTTTTATAATATTTGAAATACTAAAAACGATCTTTATAATTATTATCTATTGGAGCTTCATCCTGTTTCAACCTTTTATATTTACGATGTAGATTTGTGAAACGTGTAATAATTATTGTCCATAACATACACAATATAATGTGCTATGAACAGAGGAAGACATATATTAAATAATTATACGATATTAAATTATATCAGATGTTACGTCCGTTTCTTTGGATTAAGCGGGATGTGAGGATATAAAATATGCATAATGTTTGATCCTTCAAAAGATATGATAATAGTATAAATGGTGATGCAATTACAAATATTCTCACGGTTTTTTTCTTATGTAAACAATGAACAAATTTAAAACACAATTTGTTGCTTATTTCCACTATCTGTATTCCAATTGAGATAATTTGTTTTACATTAAAACTATAAAATTATGATGATGGTACATTTTTCTATACTATTAACCAGAAATCATTAAATCTAAAAATATGCTCTTAAGTAAAATAAAATAAAACCATTGTTTACATCGCTGTGGTTAAAACGTTTATCTCTCATATATTATTAATGATTAAGCATTAAATAGATTGGTAGTTAGAGCTGGAATACTGGAATTAGCAAACTGGAATTCGTCGTTGGTATCCACTGGTTGGCCTCGGGTTTTCCAGTTGCTTATTGCAACGAAATGCGGCTAAAGGTAATCAGCCGGCGCCTGCTAACCAGAAATGAATGGAATGATGAATATAATATATTGGATTATGACGACTAGAAAGGAATTATATAATTGAAAATAATTATCTATTATTGGACTCTACATTTTATTATTATTAATAGCATTTGTAATAAACTGAACATTTTCAAGTATTAATAATAATTTTTTTAAATATCCAGTCAAAAAATGGTTAAGAATAATAAAAAATACAACGTCTAAAACGAATGATGTTCCGACTATTAGAATATGAGTTCATATGTTAGAGATGTTTTTTTTCTTTTGGGATATAAAAGTAAATAAAGATAAAATCGTATTGAATATATAGTCCATCAATATACAACTATACCTATAACTATCTTATACGTAGCTATAGATATATTTTGTACCGGCTTAGGACTCGGCATGAACTATTAATGGATTCTAGAATGGAATTTGCACGAGAACTATTACGTTTACAAGCTAAAGAAGACGTTTAATATTGCGAAGCATTTAAAAGTCCTGATCATGCTTTGTCTCAAGTGATCTAATCGAAAATATTACACCATATCTATTTCTATTTCAGAATACATTACAGAATATTATTAAAAGAAAACCGAGGTTATGCGATATCTGTATAATTTTAATATTGATAAAAATTGTACGGCTTTCATTCGTATCGGGAACATTGACCTATATTCGGTCGGGACGCTTGGCACTCAAATAACACGCGTTTAACGAACGCATGAAATCGAATACATTGGTATATTAACGTATTTGGTTTAAATTTACATTAATTTGCACATTAAATTTTGTTATTTAATTCATTGTATGGGTTTATTCTAGAATAAATGCACATGGCGATGTATTTATTCACCTTCTACCTTATCCTTATTAAAGATAAGTAAAATTATTTGGTTATTTCAAGCCATTTTAGTAATTGTTTTATTAATATTTCAATAAATGTTTACCACCGAAGGAAAGTTCTTAAGGATTTATTGTACAAGCCAAAAAAACTCTTTTCTTATGTCTCTTTTTAACACTGAGAAATACTTAAATTAATATAAATATATCAACATATTGAGGCTTGTTGATAGAATGGAAGTGTATGACAAATAATAATTATAATAATTGTTTTCAATTCTTTACCCATTTATAATAATTTACGCATGTCATGTAATCCTTTTTAATTAGTGTTTTGTTACTTTAATAACATTTATTGACAAAAGTTAATATAAAAATCATTAAAACGATTGTGTTTTATAATACTCATATAGAAAGAGGAATAACTGAAAGTATGTACATATGTTTAAAAAATAAAAAAGTTTCCGTGTTAATAGTAAATTTATTATTAACTTTAACGAAGATTTTACTGTTAAAGGATTAATAAGTTATTCGCGTTATTAAACCCTTAAATATAAACTAAAAACAAGTCGATTGTGAGAAACTTGTGACTAAAATGGAATCATTGTTCATTTGGTTATCAAGAGCATCGATAATTATAAGAATATTTGGTTTTAAATAGGAAACATATTAACATTGATTCATTCATCAAATGACTATCTTGATCCAAGTCAAATGCAAAAATCAGTAATAAAAAACTTATCTTACTTTATAAAAATATATAATTCAGTAAGTTTCCTATTACATACGATAACTAGTCAAGCAAATAATATGATATCCTAGCAACAATAAAATAAGTCTATCTGTTAAAATATACATATGTATATTTAATACTACAGCATTTATCTTTTTAAACACACGGGCAAATAAATTATTCTAAGTCCACCTTGTCGTGAAAATGTACACGTGATAAACATAAGCGACTGAAGGTTTCTTTGTCTTTTTTTTTGGTAATTACTTATCAGTAGTGTGAGGTATGTGACTAAGAACGACATTGATTTAAATAGTAAAGTTAAATTTAAATAAATAGATTTTATTCTGTAATTGTTACCTTAATATTAATTCTTTCGTTTTTTTTTCTCATTTAATTAATACTATTTTTTTTACGTTTTTAAACAACATGTTCTAGTTTTCTATCGTATGATGTTTCTGTAACACCTTTCTCTCCATTCATATGAACGTAATTAGTAGAAAAAAATTTAGAAAGGCTTATTAGTTAAGTAAAAGTTGCTACATCATCAATTACAGAAACTTATATATCCTTCTCTTTGTTTCAGTGTCAACATTTTTATCCCAAACATTATGATTTACAAATGGATATTATGATAAGAGTGAAGTGCTGTCAAGAAACTAAAAATCCAAAGTGACGAAGTGTTTTGGTGTCTGTTTTGCTGCGTTCCGTTACTTATGCTTTTCTCACTAAACACTACATACAAAATGTCGGATAAAACGTCGTCGTCTCTCGGTCCTAGAAGTATAGAGACGATTTCGGAGGAGGAAGGTGAGTCGCCGTGGGAGAGATTACTGGAAGATGTTAAGGCTGTTCCAACTATTATAAAAACTAATGCGTCGAGTACAACTATTTGTAAGAGCGGTGACGAGGTGGTCATACCATCGGTTGCCGATCTAGAAGCCAACAAACTGACGCGCTCCAGGAGCCTCAATCAAAGAAGAAACAGCAGTGGCCTTCTCAGTACCATCCCTAGACAACTTCGACTTTCTCTTCGAGGCGTGCGTAGTGAACCTTCAAGTGTCAAAGATGTACCAACAACTAGAAACGATAGTGCTCTAAACCTTTTTCTTCGGTAAGTCCTGGTATTTTCTCGTCCTTCAATCTGTTTTAAAAAGGGAAAATGTTTATTACGATATCCTGTATGTTATTTTCCTCATGGCTCTGGCAAAAATAATACATATTTTTTTTTCTGTGATGAAGACGTTTTAAGATTTATCTGTGCCCAAAAATTTTGTTAAATTCTAGTGTTCTATGAAATGGTTTCGAAAAGTTTTTGTTTAAAGACGGTATTTTATATTTGAAAAACAATTGCCATCTTCAGTTTTTCCTAGACATACATATGGAGGTACAATAATTATTATTGTTGTACGTGCCGTGTCATATAATGGCAAATGCAGAACGTGTACATACGTCTTCTAATATAATTTTCATTTAAAAAGACGTAAAGGTCACGAACAAAGGCGCCCACATGGCTTCACGCGTCGCCAGGGTTTATTACTTCCATATCGACCCCGTCTTTTATAATTGCTTTTCACATTTATAGCCTACAAGTTTATTACCTTAATAACTTTTTATACGGGCCTATACGACCAGATTTCTATGTAATATTAATCATACATCAAAGCTTTAAAATTTCCCATTTGAAAGTGACCGTTTTGATCGTTTTTTTTCCATTTAACTTAGTTTTATCAAAGAGCGGCGTAATGTTACGCATCTATTTGATTCGTATGCAAAAATTCAAAAGGAAACGGACGTCCTTCTATTAAGTGCGGCTGGTAATGATTTACAGGAAACTTGTCGCCGCTGTAGACGTTACCGAAACAATAATTCTTTGACAATGAGAAATAGCAGCCTTATCTTTAGTGTTCGGTCAGGGTTAATATGCAATTTGTCCTGCTGAGTATTGAATTCCATGGTTTTAATAAAATAATTACTATATTATTGAAACAATCGCTTTAAAACTGTCACACATTATAGTTTTTTTTATATGATTCCCGAATATTACGTAACTAATTTCAATCTATGTAAAAGTTTTAAATCTTGCGTAAATGAAGTTTATTATATCTTCAATATTATATTAAAGAATCACATATAAATTCAACACCCAACATGACCAAAAGTCAATAGAAAGTTCCTAGTAATCAATTCCTATTGACGTTTTTATTAGCAGTGCGAATTCTTAGCACGAATGTACCAAGAACGTCGCGAGGCCGTTCACTTCCTTCCAACTAACACTAAACGATTCCGAAACCCAAATACTATGCATGTTTTAGATGATAGGTGCAAGGCAAAAATAACTTTGTGATTATTGTATAGTTTTGCACTAGTGACTAAATTTCTCTGCAGTTTGATATTCGTTGTTTTCTAAACTTTATTATTTGCAAAACTTATTCCCACCTTTCTTTAGTGTTGAACGCGATACAGTCGGCCTGTATTTTTTCTGAGCACGTCCTGTAATTTAGTTCTAAATAGATCTATTAAAATATTTTAAAATATGAATGACGAATAGAGGGCAATGAATGGAATAATTACAATGAGGACAATAGAACATCCTTTTGTCAGAAAAATATTCTTTACTGGTTGATGTACCTACTGCATTAAATGCTACAAGTTTCTAGATATGCTTTTTAAAAATACCGTCATAATTGGACATATCTTATTTGCGGAGATATTAAAACGCTATTTTTATATATATTATTTTCATATCAATTAATGATAATAAGATTTTATCTCAGTTTATTTAGTCAACCTAGATTTACCGTTCTGTTGTTATCGTCTAGATATTTTGGAAAGCGTTTGAAGTAGGTATTTTATTAACATTTCCATTTGCTTGAACTATTTTGAAACGTTGACGCATATAGTCACCTGAGTAAATATTTGAAATTTATGAATTTAAATGGTGATTCGCTAGTAATAGTTAGTTACAAAATTTTGATAAAATTATATCTTTATGGATCTGTGATAAGATTTTTCTATAGATATATTTTGATGTCATGTCCTTAATAATTCTGACCTCGTTTTAGTTTTTGCGAATCTTTATGAAATATGTTGCTTATTTCTTATATTTTTAAATCTGGCCTGGTTTAGATCAACATATATAGATACGTGTAACGTCATCTTGTGAATCATTACAGGTAACATGAGACATGACAAAACTATAAAGAAATGAACGTCCTGTCTTTAATATAAAATATATTACACCTCTTCATGATTCGTATATTTTGCACAGTTTTCAAAGAACTGCATTTCCTATAAAGTCCTTGCACTCAAAGTAACACTTCAATTTATCCAAAAAAGTCCTTTTAAATACCTACCTAACTTATAGGTAAAATTACTCTTTTTGTAACATGATATCATAGATGAATATAATTACGTTCAACGTTATGTTTAAATAACAATAATTTTACGGTAGTTGCCTAAATTTGACGACCTTTGTAACGCGTTCGTATTATAAAGATGATATATACAAAATGATTTCGTAACAATATGATGTAATGAAATGTCCACGGCCACCCAACATGTATTGGTCGTGTGATAAAACTAAACGTTCATAGCTTTAATACTAGTAAAACAGTATTTTAGTGAGCATTTTTATTATTATTTCTAGTCTTGCATAATTTCAATCGGTAATCTGTTTTATATAAAGAAATTTTCTGAAACCAATAAGGGTTCCCAACAATTTCAACTTCAATCTCTGTTGTAAAACGTAAAAAACTGAATACAAAAGTGAGTAAAACGAAATATTTTAATGGACTTAATGTTAAATAACAATCAATCTTGCTCTTAGTTGTCAATGTAATTTTGAATAACCAAAACAAAGTCCATTTATATTAATACATTCAAGAATTCGCAAGGTTATCTTTTTGTGGGTTTTATTCAATTAACCGTCGATCCTGGTATCTTTCCATCGTTTTTTTTTTAAGTTTTTTTCCTTCATAAGTAAAACGAAATCTTCGAATTATTGCCAGTCTCTAAAACTGAGTCATCTGAACCAGTTCAAAGAACCGTTGACGAAGTGGGAGATCAAAAACCTACGGTATATTCATACCTGACATTTTTTGTCTGGTTCAGAATTCGTAAGAATAAAACTTTAAAATAGCCCAAGCCGCTCGTTGTTGTCAAGTGTTAACCAGGCTTTTAAAAACCAAATAAATGTATATATCCATCATAATAAATGAACTTGTCTTATGTAATTATCATGTAAGTTTAATGTAACTCGCAAAAACAATCATATTTTATTTCAAATATTTCTATGGTATATTAATATGAATAGAAAATTAATACAAGTTCTACTTTTATTTTCCACTAAATTGGAACAAATCTTCTTTCAATAATATTAGAAATTTGATACATTTTTGTTTAATGCTTGTATACCGCCATCTGTCAGCGAGTAGCAAAACCAGAGTTATCCCACGTTAAAACTCATAGAAATAGGATAGTACACTCTACTAGTACTATTTAAAACTCTCGTGTCACAGATTATAAATGACTTGGCAACAGCGTTTGAATCTTTTCCGAGGACAAAGTTCAAGCTAACCACACACTAGTTAAAATACATGTGTGTTCAAAATGCTAATAAAAAATGTGGTACTCACAAAGTATTTAAAGATATTGCCCTTTGAGTTTAAACACTATTATATATACACTATAAATGTTTATGTCTAAAAGACTTTTTCAGAAACCAAGATACTTTGTAATGAAATGAGAATCTCTTCTGGCCATTACAAAAATACAAAATTTCTACTACCTCTAGTTTTTTGCTTATTAGTTATTTGTATACGTTTCCTACATTCACTGCACATTTCTTAAATATATGTACGTCAGTTTATTATGAGAAAAGGCCATTGTCTTATAGAATTTATAAAATAATTTAAGAGATAAAAAATAGATACATCAGATTTCTCTTAATATGTCAATGTTATTGATAGAAGGTATTTGATGTAATTATATGAAACGTGACATAAAAAATCAATCACAGGTAAAGACATGTGACATTTTTTATAAAATAAAACACAAGGCTTATAAATTATGCATGCAATCCAATAGTTTTATTGCAATTAATTTGATACATAACATTTTATATAACAAAACTTGTGTTAATACAATCTGTAAGAAATGTTTAGAAGTGTATTTGATTTGTTTGACAATTATATGGCGCTTGTAAATCTTTTTAGAAATAAAGTTTGTGCCATCACTAACATTACACATCTTCTATTTGGTAAATAAACAAAAGGTTCTTTGATCACAAGAGCTATTACATAAATGTATGTTTTAAAAGTTTGTTTATGTAACAGGAAATTTATTTATATAATAGAGGTAATGTCAAATATTTTAAACGATAATTACTGTTATTAGTAATTGTTGAAATAATTACAACTTATTATTTATTATAATTATAAGGAAGTTGTTATCAATGGTAGCTGTATGGGGACTTTGGTTAACATTAATTCAACGAATGTTACATATTAAAAATACTTTGAAGTTATATTGAAGATATAAAGTAGAATGAAGAATGAAGTAAATGGTTTGAAAACAGAAATGCTATGTTTCTCACTTTTTACGTTTAGTGAAAACTGAAAAGCAAATGATGAGAGCTAATACGCATCTGCATTTCATCAAGCAGCTGACGCCATCTGTCACACGTATTTTTGTATGTATATATATATATATATATATATATATATATATATATGTATATATATAAAATTTCCAACACTCTAATTCTAAAACATCATCAATAGACACGGAAATCAATTACGTACGTTTCAACTCGTCTCTTAGCTGTTTTGGTTTTAACAGCGCCACCGCTGAGCATTATACTGTCCACTATGTAACATACCAATATAAAACACAATATTGTAGAATCATAAAATTCTACTGCGTAATAACTTCCTAAAGTAGCAATAAAGATTTTCATACAAAAATACCTAAAACATATCTATTTACATCACAAAACAGTGTTGAAATAAAATAAAAAATTGTGTAAAAACCAGTTGTATATTATGTGTATATTATACATAATGTGTGCATACAAATTTTATAATACATTATGATATCTTTTTTTCCCTTTGATAAAAACGATTCAATCAAATCTTTTTATTGAATCTTAGAAATTTAATTCAATTTTTTAATTACTTAAACTCTGTGTTAGAAAATGAATCAACACATGAAATTTTTATAGAAAAGATTTTAAATATGAGCAAAATAAATTTAATAAAAAGAAGCAAACAATATAATAAAAAGAAGGAATTGCAGGAATGAGTTAGTACATAATTACTACACGGTCAGCTAATGCGAGCCATTGGCGCCAGCTTTAGCTGCTTAGCTGGACGCTTTTCGCCTTAACCCCACCCTAAGGCTCTTTGTAATGCGACATGTGATAGTTAGGCAAAAAATGTTAAAATGATGTTTTAAAAGTTGTACTTGAAACTAAAAATAAAGATGAGTAAGGACAAAACAGATACGGCAAATGAATCAATAAACAAAAAACGTAATTACGTATACAAGGTATTAGGTGCTTGTGAACTTTAGTAACACTTGGTTTTAAAAAATGGCTCTATACTACAATTAAGATAAAAATAAAGCTTATGAACACTACATAAATACTACATATTTTTCCTTCTTGATGTTTAATTGGCTTGAATTGAGAAAATATTATAAATAAAAATATATTCTTTTGATTATTTACAACAATCAAAAGGCATTTTAATTAAAGTTTATTACATTTAATAAAGATGATTCAAAGAAATATCGAAATTTCGTTTTATAGTCAGGAATTCAAATATCTTAGTTCTTTTAAAGAACACTTCATAACAGCAATCAAAGTTATGTTTATTCAAAAGTTATTTAACAACAGAGTCATTTAAAAACCTTAGAGAATGAACGAATTGAGATAAAGACCGTATTAAGCGGAGATAATTTCTTTATCGCCGTGAATAAAGAACTATTGTGTACTGAATTTAAATCTTTATCTTCAAAATGTTTAAAACTGAGTTACATGAATCGTGAACAGTTTCTTTATAATTTCATATTCCTCTCTAATTCTTAATCACGAGACATCTGATTTAAATTAAGCCGTTTGTACTATGACGCAGTCGCGACGTCTTATTTACTGATGCGTCATTTGGGTTCCGAAATAGTCTATAAAATAAAAATATATTAAAATCGGTTATATAAAAAATGGAGTACTCGATGGTGAAACTTAAAAAAAAATAGTTGGGATATAATGTTGTTAATATAGATTTTAGTGAAAATATAGAGGCGACGTCGAGACGCGTCGCGGCGCCACTGGCTGCGTTGGCACGGGACGCTCGCACTGTTTGTTTGTGATCTTCGGATCCGTTTCATTAAACATCTGACTGTTTCAGTACACGAGTTATACTCCACACATACGGTGCCAGTGAAAAAACGCATTACGGTTTCCACTGCGACGCCATCTCTCAGATATCATTACGTTTAGTTTGCAAAATGATTTCGATAACATTGAGGAAGTTTGTGGTGCTTTTGTTTGATATGAAGGAGGTATTCAGTGAATCTCTTATTAACGTGCTCCTGAAAGACAGAACGGAGATATTTTTGTAATATTGATATGTCATTCCAACTAAACATTCTAGAACGTGCGGTTCGAAGATTGAATTAGGAGAGAAATTAAGCGCTGGTTACGCTAAAATTGTATCTATTATATCGTTTTACTTATATTAAAAACTATAAAAGACTGATTGACAGTAAAAGAAACCGTCGGGTCGTGTGTTTTTGCTAAGTGTTTAGAAGAATATTATATGTTTAGAAGAATGTCGGGATTGAAGAGATGTATAAGTCAAGTATCGATGTTCATGACTGGCAGACCTATAAATTCATCAGAATCCGCCTGGAGGGAGGAATTACAAAAGTAAGATTATAGATAAAATTAAAATAGGTATTAATACACATCTGATCTTTATTAGTGTCTACAAAGAACAAAAAAATGTTTTCTAACGCATTCTGTGGACACATTTATTTTATTTCATTATTACAGACAATTCAAGTAACATAACTATGTATGTGGTATAACAATTACGGCATTGTTTTGTCAACACATTTGTCCATGATTACCACTCTGTTCATTAGTGACTGTGAAAATCATTTGAGATCGTTTAATGGCCCATTATAATCAACAAACCAATTTATATTTCATACGATATTGTTCAATATAAATATTTGCTCTATCCCTAAACGAAACGAGTTGAGTTATTGATTAAATAAAACAAACCAATACATTTTATGTAAACATCATGACGGCCTATAATTGATTTACAAATGACGTTTATATTTATTACTTCTTATATGTAATTCAAATATAATATTTTCTATTGCTTTAATATTATATGAAAATTATATTACATTGAAATCTTCTACATCGATCATAATACAATATTTAAAGATAAATTTGAGTTAAGTTCTAGTATTATATCTTTTTAAACTTTTCATGTAATCTTTAGGCAAAATTATGAAAAGCCAGAACTCGTCAAATAGGTTTCGTATGTACGTATTGTCTTTATGGAACCGCTATTCAATAATATTCTCAGTAATTGGTATACGATTTACTGGTTGCTTATTAACATTGATGTTTGACATCATGATTCAGTATAATAGTCGTGATATAATTATTATAAAATGATTATTACTGTATCCATTAAGTTCAAAACAACATTCATATGAAAAATTATTTTGTTACGCAGTAAATAAATTCATTAGGAATGTTTTTTTAATACTTTTAAATGTAAAAATACATTGTGAAACAGCTTGCAAACTCGATTTTGTTTCGTTTTTCAGATCTCAAAAAAGTCCTGATTTAACATTAATATATGTTCATGACTGTATTTGTCATATAAATTAATATTCCTTTTTAGCACTTAATATTTGTCGCCACACCTACTTACATAAAAAGCTTTCACTGATAACTTAGAGTGCTCTTTAAGTTGAATGCACAGATAGTTTGGAGTGTCCATAAAGCATATTGAATAATGTCTGAAAATGTATATGTATTTATATTATTTAAAACATAGTGTTCGTCACGTATGGATTATCAATATCCATATTAGTTTATAAAGTCTTTCAAAGGGCTGACGGATGTGCAGTAAATTATTGTACATGGTTCAAATGTACGTAGCAAAATAATATTGTAAGTAAATTTAACACGCAATAAAGATTAAAATAATAAGTATCCTGTCACTATTTTTACTATTAAGTCATATTATGTTCAATATATATTATTATTATTACAAATAAATTAATTATCATCGGAATTTTAATTTGCGTCGAAATTCCGTAATGTTATTATGGTTTGAAGCCAGTATTTGAAATGTAGTTTTAAGGAATCCTTGTTTTGTGAATTCGTCCACTATTTTCGTACGTTGAATGTGATTATACAAATAATAAATGAATGTCATTTATTAATTCTGACGAGACGGAATAAATTATCACATACACGTTATATTTTTATCTTTTATAACGATTTTGTTAGGAATTTTAATATCATTTCATTCGATAGAGAAATACAGAAATAAAAACACTATAGCTAATGTAAACATAAATGTTCGTATTGTTTTGACATTTTTTCGCTAGTACAGAAAGAAAAAAGTCTTTTAATAAATAGAATGATTTAGTGATTATTGTTATCATTTCATCTTCTTGCAGATACCGTCAAGCCCGCTATGCAGCAAGACGTGTCCGTAAGCGCGTCATCTTCAAACACGGAGACTGCAACGTTGTCCAATGGAACGTCGCCAAGCGCAGACGCCGGTACCTTCAGGACATATTCACAACCCTCGTTGACGCACAATGGCGCTGGACGCTGCTGGTGTTCGCTCTCTCCTTCATACTATCTTGGCTGCTGTTCGCGCTTATCTGGTGGCTGATCATCTTCACCCACGGGGATCTCACTCCCCCGACTAATAGCAACGAGACCTTCACACCTTGCCTTAACAATGTTAACTCCTTCACCGGTTGCTTCCTCTTCTCTGTTGAAACCCAACACACTATTGGATACGGATCAAGAACCACTAATGAGGAATGCCCGGAGGCTATTTTCGTTATGTGTATCCAGAGTATTGTTGGAGTATTTATTCAAGCTTTCATGGTAAGATTCCATTTTATTTCTTACATTAACCCTTAAGTTTAATTTTTAGATTATATAAATAGAATAATATGATGTGTCAATGTACTTAGATGAAATTTACAAACCTTTTTTCCCTATAGAATAAAATATGTATAAAAACTTTTGTGACATCATAAACATTTAAAGAGTAATCAAATGATGCTAGAAAACTTCCTGCCCCGGAGCCAATATGATAATAATTTAATATTAAAATAAACTTGGACTTGAGCCAAACGTATAAACGTATCGATGTGTAATCCAGATGCTCCCTCAAAAATAATAATTACAGAATAATATATGACCACTTACATTACTACGTTTTTATAGGATTTTATTTTACCCAAATAAATTATATTTTACTTTAGAGTTTTAATACATCACATTGACAGGTTGTAGGTGTTAAAGCTTCTTATTTTGAGAATTTTATACTATTAATGTCTACCCTGATGAACGCTGGAAAAATTTGGTTCAGCTAAATGACATTAAAATTAAATTTTAGGTAGGAATCGTGTTCGCAAAATTATCTAGACCAAAAAAACGAGCCCAGACCCTGCTGTACTCTCGTAACGCGGTCATATGCCTCCGAGATGGCCAACTTTGTCTCATGTTCCGTGTTGGTGATATGAGGAAATCTCATATAGTTGAAGCACATATTAGAGCGCAATTAATTCGCCGCAAGGTATATTATTACGACAAAGCGGATACTGGTTAGTGATTGGGGATTTCGGTCAGCACGCTTCAACCTTCCCGTCTTAATACCAACCCTATCCTCTAACACTACGGAGTCTGATTCATGTAATCCACAGGATATATGCATCAGGTTTCGATTCCTTCGGTTTTGATATTATATTCAAAACCTTTCTCTTGTCCATAGGTGGGTCTAATATTCGCAAAGCTGGCTCGGGCCAAAAAACGTAACACAACGCTCCTGTTCTCGAGGAACGCGGTGATATGTCTCCGAGATGGAGAATATTGCCTCCTGTTCCGTGTCGGGGATATAAGAAAGTCACATATTCTGGAAGCACACGTTCGTGCACAGCTTATTAGAAAGAAGGTGAAGTATATCACCCCTAAGCGTATTATTGTAAAATGCATATCGTAACCGTTGTGGGACACGTGTTATATATGTTTATTTATTTTGCTCTTATTAGACCCATCTAAGGTTTGCCTAACTTCACTCATATTTATGTTATGACAGTTTTGCATGCTTAATACTAAATGCTTCGTTTGAGCTTCAAGCATAAGTTATAAAAAGCATGAGCACATTAAATCAGTTCACAGTATATTTAGTAAAAAGCATAGTGAATGTAACCACCGAATGTTTCACAAGAGATTTCAATTCATTAGTCTTCCTATATAATCTTCAATTAATGTAAGTCCTGTGAATAAACATTCGGTTTTTAAATTACTATGTAAAATCATACAAGAAGGACATTAAAGCAGAAGCTTAACTTGCAGCTATGGAAAATTGCATGAATGCATGATACAGACAGCTTTGCTACTAACTATTTTATATATGTATATACACATTGCATGATCGTTGAATAAAACAGATTTTATTAATATAAAAATACATATAAATATATAGCTCTTTAATGTAAAATTATTTTAAATCAGACAACAAGAGAAGGAGAGCTGCTGCCTTTTTATCAGCAAGAGTTGAAGGTTGGGGCTGACGGTGAAGAAGATAGGCTTATGTTCATCTGGCCTATGACCATAGTGCACAAAATCAATGAGCGTTCACCGCTATACAACTTGTCAGCGTCTGACATGTTGAGGGAGAAATTTGAGATCGTTGTTATGTTGGGTGAGTGTTTTTTAATATGTATAATTACACAAACCTATTGAACATTATCTGTGCATCCACTTTTACCTTAATATACATTATACAAAGTCATATGATGCCTTATTTTTTATATTACTATAACATTTACAAAGTTAAAGGCCTGTTTTATATTTGGAGTTTTAATTTGAGAGCTTTAAGACAGACTTGCGTGGATGTAAATCGATGAACAGTGATTACATGTTCTTGGCACGTCCATAACGAAGACTTGGTAGCTTGCCCTGGTTTTTGTTCCAAAAACATCAATATATATAAAATATAAGAATGCTACTATTTACAGACAATTTCCTTATTTATTATATAGTATGTTAAGTTATATATAAACATGTTTTTCTATTGAAGGAAGTTTTAAACTTATGCTTTGCTTGCTTGCCAGTTTTTAATTCTAAATAAAACTTGTTTCCTCAGAGGGTGTCATAGAGTCGACTGGTATGACAACTCAAGCTAGAAGCAGCTATTTACCATCTGAAATCCTATGGGGTCATCGATTTGAGACTATGGTGTCGTTTAGGAAGGAAACCGGGGAGTATGAGGTGAGTTTAATATTTACTTTTTTTAATTTACTTTTTGTATTGTCATTCTAAGCCGATTTGACATTAACATTGCAATTGACTTTCCTTTATTTTTCTATCATAATATCTACCATTACAATCAAATCATAGAGATTCAACAAGATATTGAAAAAAGGACATTCCAACTAAATTTGTTTGATTCGGTTTCGTACATCCAAATTGGAAATATCATCTTCTGAATCAGCGGATTCTTTGCTTCATATTTTTTATAAGGAATTTATGGTGCATCAAGTTAAAATCAAAAATCTTTATGGCTATAAAAAACGTTATTGATCAATAAAATTTAATTATGACTACAACAATTTTCTGGCTTTTCGGTGAACATAAAAAACAGTAGTGATGATTTAAAGACGAAAGGTCCGGAAAAATTATTTTAATATTTTGTTTTTGTTCTTAGTGAAGTTAGAGTTAGATTTAAAAGAAATAAACAGAATCGAAATCTGAATTATTAACAAAAGTTAACATTTGATAAAAGAAATATACAAAATAAAAAGTAATAATTAATTAAATAAGATATAATTTTAAATCCCTTCAATTGCGATACTAACGTCATAATAATATGTCGTTGTATTCATTGAAATGAGAGGCGTAAATAATAATTGATAATTACATTGTTTTGATTCGTTCATTCATTCATATTGCGCCATTTTGCGGAACTCGACTGACATTTATGTTATGTATAATTTATACATAAATTATAGTTTTATAAAATGTTTATAGATGGGTTTCGTTTTATTTTAATACATTATGAGGGTTTTTGTATGCATTGAGTATATGTACATATATAGTGACTGCAATTTTTACTCAAGAAATGTAAATTATGAAGATGTATTGTATATGAAATATTGTTACAAGTCTGTATGACTAATGACTACTACAAATTGGGTTTTTGAAAAAAAAAAAAGTATTGATTTTTTTTATGTATTTTAAAACTTTATTATTAATTATATTGGATTTTTAATGCAAAAAACTTGAAATATTTTTTTTAAATTAATTATAAACAATTAAAAATTGATAAAATTCAAAAATATATCACGTGATTGTAAACGCGCCATGATTGGTCAGCATACTTGTGACGTCATAATGTTAAAGCAATTTCATAATAGTACAGTGTTTATGGCTATTATCTTTAACTTGATAAAAATATCTCAAATTTATTAGTGAAAAACGATTTGAAAAGTTTATTTCGACTATGTGTGATAAAGGATTTATAAAAGCAAAATCGGATAATATTCCTGATGTTGATATATTTATGATAACTAATTTTTTAAAAAATGACGTTCGGTTTAATTCTGCTGAAGTTCGAGGTGATAAGGCATCAAGGTAAGTCTGTTAAAAAATAATATTCTAAATGAAAATAAGTATTTATTCTCTATTAAATATAATTAATACTTATTTCATTAAATCATTATTAATAAAATGTTATTATAACATTATAAAAAAACCAAAATAACATATATGTACTTTAAAAATTTAAATGTAGTCTGATACAGAACCTAGAATGTTATAAAATTATGAAAATATCTATTAATTGAAGTCCAATTATTAGACAAACATACATATAGATTTACTATTTAATCGCTTTGAATTATCAATTAAAATTTTTTAATGCTACGATTCTAAAGGTTATGATTTGGAGCCCAGGTAAAAAAATTAATTATTGAACTATACTTATTCGATTTATACACTTAGATAAATAATAATTAATAACAATACTATTATGAATACTTACAACGAAATGATCTTCACAACAAAAAAAAATGATTTTGTTTTTGAATAATCTCGATGCACTGCTTGAAACCATTTCTTTCGACGTTTTTTCGTCTTGTGGAACATTTAAAAACATTTTTTCAGGAGTTGTTTTTGTAGTCTTTGTACATAATGGTACAAAACTTTTGATTATTTAACAATGCCAACAGAATTTACTAGATAAAAACTCAAAACACTGTACTAATTATTATATCTCTGTATGCTACAATGAGCAAAAACTAACATTGTGACGTCACACGCGCTCGGGTTTATTCCCGAGCTGTCGGCTTGTTTTCGGTACTGAATTTAAAATTTAATTTTTATTTTGAAATAACTTTTTAAATATTGCAAAAAAAAATAAAATAAAAATAGTTTTGTTATAAAACTTATATATGATCTTTCCATTTATCACAAAAAAAAAATTTATTCAAAAACCCAATTTTCCAAGAAAATCGTTTCAGTAAAATAACTCACTAAAATTTGTTTATCATCTAAACCTTTATAGGTTTTTATATTGATAAATAAAATGTATAAAATAAAAACTTTTACTACCTCATTCACGGTTACTAGAACACATAAAAATACGAGCCATCTATCTGTTTACAAGTGTTTAAACGTTCGTAAAATGTTTCAGCATAACATTGTCGGTAAACATGATGCATTATTATTTCTTAAAACTACAATAACAGTGGTGACTTCATCAGTAATATCAACTAGAAGATCGGCTTGAGATTTCATTTAAATTTTAAATTTATCACACACAATACATTTTTCTCTAGAACTGGAATTATGTATTTACACTGAGTCACGGTTTAAGTATACTATATAATCGACTTTTAAAATAAGACATTTTAGATTTATGAGCATTCTTATAGGTACATAAATTTATGGATGGATGTAAAAATATAGGTATATATTTAGTTAGTTGGTTGCGAAATTTATTTATAAGAGATGGGTATGATGAGGATTTTTAAAAAACTACATTTTATAACGTAATTACACGGTATTGCAACTCTTTGTATGGTTCGATCATTCATTTGGTTTATAATTCTGTTTATATTCAGGGGAAAAACAAGATTTTTTTATTGAAAGTCGTTAACGTTTTGATGATGATTCTCAGTATTGTATTAAAATAATTGTTATATGTTTTATTTAATATAAAATTGCAGGTCGACTACACTCGTTTCAACAACACTTACGAAGTCGACACTCCGCTATGTTCTTCTAAACAGTTGGACGAATTGCGAGCTACGGTATCAACTTCACAGAAATTAGGTAAGGTTCTTGATTAAACATAATATAAGTTAGAGTTTCCCAGAAGTAAAATATAATTTATTAAAGATTTTGCATTAATAAGACACGTTTTCCTCTAACGCTTACGAATTCTTGGAATCGATATTTCGTTCGTTTGCTCCATAATAAGGAAAATGATTAGCTTAGCAACAGGATAATCATTAATCGATCTCTCAGCGCTTGTTTATTGATGTATATTTATTACTGTATTATAAAGAAATAAAACTACAATATAATTTTTTCCTTTTATAATATAATGATATAATAATTGTGAATTGCAGATCGTTTATTAGGAACAATACCAAAAACATTCTCCAACGACACCTTAGACATGAGTTCAGTGGATTCGATGTCTTTGGACGAACACATAGAGATAAAAATACCAGAGGCCAGAGCGAGAGAGAATCGTTTGATGGCACAGAACAATTTTATACCGCATATAAATGAAAAATCAAGAAACATTAGTCACACGCATCTAGCCGTTGAAAATGAAATTCCAAAGAACCATTCTATTATATGTATGAATAATATGAGAGATAAAGACCATATTAACAGAAGTCAGAGTCATTCTAATATGAAGAAGATTCACGCGACAACTAACGGCATCGCACCTATGATGAACGGACATGATAAAGTTGAAGCCAAAATTAAAAAGTAAGGAACAAAACAATATAAAAATTTGAAGTATTTATAATATTAAACTACTAAGAGAGATATTTATTTGATCTAAGCGATTTTTTATTTGCAAACGGAAGCAAAAATTTCGTCATTTTTCTTAATTATATATATTTTTTGTTTAGGTATTCTTGTTCATAAAATATATTATTTTATATCACAAATAAGATATTAAAAGTAATCAGTCATAATACATTGGCAAATATTACATTTACATATTAATAATTTCTTGGAGTAATTCAATTAATTAATTAATTATATTAATTTTCAGATCCCCCAGCGACCACAATATAGATAAAGTTCCAGTGATACCCATCCTAGTAACGTCCGCGGACAGTGAAGCTTGACATTCAAAACATAGGGTCCGATTCATTGATATATGTTGAAGTAGATTCGTGATTTCATTATAGAATTCTATATAAATATAAATTGATATAAAAATAATTAAAAGTGTCCATGGAAACACGTCTTAAAATACAGTCGCCCTTAACGTTTTTAAAAGTTTCTCTCCTGGCGTCCGGCCAGCGTTTCCTAGAATAACAACAATTTACGTCTGATATATCTTTATCTAGAATTCTTTGTTATATTACGAAATTAACAATTATATTATAAAACATTAAACATCTGAAAAACTTAAAATATTTCGAAACGTTTACACATTAAAACATTCCCTAACATCTGAACGTCACGTATTCTTATTTTCTATTGAATATTTATGCTTTTTTATATGTATTAGTTGAATTTTAATCGACTCCGTACTTCATCTACTTCAACAGCTAGTGATTATAAAACAGGGTTGTATTTAAACCGAATATTTATTGAAACTTTCTAGTTGAATTGGAAACGGTAAGAATTGCCAGTTTCAAAAATATAACTTGTAGTTTATGTAAGTGAATATTATGAAATGTAAAAATGTATTATCTACATACAAAAAATTAAAAACCACGTTGTTATCGGATATTCTTACTTTATTTAAGCTTCTAACATTTTTTCTTTCTGAAATTTGGATATTTATAGCAAGCGACTAGGATTAAATAGATTAATTAATTGTTACAACGAAGTTTCAACTAAAATTAACACAAAAATTTATATAAAACAGTTGCATTAAGTGTTGTGTAACTTTTAAATGCTTTATTATGTTAACCAATATCTTGGCACGGTCCCTTTGACCATTTTTTTGTAGAAAAGTTTGTACACGTATATTCGAGTATGTACGTATCGATGGAAACATATTATATTTTGTCTAATTACATATATTGTTGTGATAATTAATTAAAAAAAGTCGTCATTAGGATAAGAGAAAAATCCGTGTTTCATAATTATATATAACACTTTGAAAAACTATTAAAACATCAGGAAATTTCAATACTTAGGATATCGTTTTATCACCTTTTATAACTTTATACAAATATATTGTAATTGAATTGTCTTCCTGTTAGATGCTTTTATAAGTATTTTTAACCGAACATAGTTAAATTGAGAGGGCCAAAAAAAATTATATAATTAAATTCGTTTGTATTAGAAATGTTTTCAGTGTCTTTATTTAATATATTGTAAAATGATTTACATTGAATGTAAGAACAGAGGAATGATGGAACTCTAAGGTCCAAAATTTCTTTGAACATGGCTGTTATTATAAGTATTACTTTGAAGGATGAAGTCAGGAGCCTCAATGGCGCGGGCGTCCGAGTATTTAGTCAAATAAAAAGCTTTTAATCTCGCTCATGATTTATGCGTATTAGAAAATAAAAAAAATATGCTAATTGAAAAACTCATAAGACTTTTATTTCACACCCACACTCTTTATACTATTATAACATATTGAATTATTATTGCCATATATATACATCGAATGCATCTAATAAATTTATTTAATTTGATAATACTATTAATTAATTAATTAAAATTATTAAATAATATTTAAAAAATTAACATCGACTTCTTGGAAGCACTTCAAATAATCTAACGCCATCTAGTAGCGAGTAACTATAAATATCGTCAATAAATCAAAGTTACATTCGACTTAAAACTAGTACATTTAATCAACTAAAATATACTATTATTTGATATCTTTCATCACTTTATTTGGTTGCTTTTCATCATCGCTCGATGAGGAATGTTCTTCGGCACTATTAAAATAGTCTGGGGGATATTTCACAACAGATGGTTTATTAGTGAGACTCGCTCGTCGTAATGCGTCTTCAACCAGCCTGTCTGGTACCATATTCATAAATGGTGTATTACATAGGACCGCTGACAACGGTGACGTCGTGTAACCTGAAAATGTTAGTATTATATGAAAATACCACCCTTTTTGGAGACGTTAAAGAAAATATATAGGATTAGATGTCGATTAGAAATTAAATTAGTGAAGAAAGAAAGAAGAGATATTATTATAAAAGTATATTTGTTAATAATAAGATCTGTGTTATATATAAAATAGTCTGAGGCATAGTAAACTTGGTATATATTATTTTATTTCAATGCAATTTAAATTAAATATATTAAATACTATATCGTTTCTTGGTATTAAAAATATTCAACCAAAACATATAATATGGACTCTATAATATAAATGGTTGTTTGTTCAAACACAATGATAAGTTTTTTATGTATCGACACGTTCTGAAACTTAGAACGTTTTACTTTGTCAACTCTACGTTAGCTATCTTTTGTTTCTAATAAGTTATACTCAATTGAAAACTGGGTCATAGTTGATAAAATGTCTTATATATTATTAAAACCCTCCACCTTTTAAGGACACACACATTAATAAGCGCATTTTTAACATTTACAGCTCAACCAACATAAGCCTCTAGGATAACTGCAAACCTTTTTTTATACTCATAACTGATGCTTTGCATCTCAACATCTTCATTCAAAGGTTTTGAAGTCATACAGACATCACGGGATACATAATTCATTTATATTAACATAGAATTTTATTTATCCATACAATTGTGATGACTATCACATTACTACTCATAACAATGAAAAAAATTATAATACTACACTAGAAATAAATATTAACACCGATACTGTTTCATAAATTTTTATTTTTATAAATAAGGAGGTAACTTACAAGTTGCATTATCTTAAAGCTAAATACATGATCTCAATAAGTGCACATGTAAATAAAATATAACACATTATAATACAGCATAAACATTGGAATGTATTTATCAAATATTCGCACAACCTTCGAGATTATTTGATTATTTTATTAGTAACATAATTTTTTGCAAGAGATTCACATATGTTTTACGTGACTAGTGAAAGGAAATATTCATTATGGGAAAATAATATATTCTCGTTTAACATTGTATATGTAACATTTGTATATTAATTAATACTATTCGTTTTTATAGAGTGACGGTGAAGTCTCCGTTTTTGTGTTCCGCTTTGGGCACCGGTTCGGGATCGTGACGCTCTGGTAATCTGAGGACCATAGGCTCTGTGCTCTCTGTACAACACAACACATACATAAATACTCACACATACATTTACTACGAATATCACAAACAATAAAAACTTAGCATAATTTGGTCAATGAACATACATTGAACGTATTCACTCAATTCGCTATACGAATTGGCAATGACATTACAAAAAATAATTATATTTACGGACAATTTATGATTATCGTAGATAAATCTATAAGTTAAGGAATGGCAAACGATATGATTATATCAACTTGATATCAAATACGCCGCTGGCAATGAGGTGTGTGTTTCACTAATCATGCATAACTTTTGATACGTTATCAAGTACACAAGAACATACTAGATTCGTTCTATTGACTGAACCTGAATTATGATTTTCAATCAAGAACATTGTTATACAATTGTTGAAGATAACAATATAATCATTATAACGTGATTTAAATTTCAATAATTCATAATTTAGTTAATTATTACATTAATTCGTTAATAAATTAATAAAATTTTATCATGGTTAACCAAAAAGTTACATTTTTTAATATTATATAAAGAGTGGAACTATATTGTTATTTTTAACTGATGTATTGAACTTACAGGTTTAGGTTTATATAGGTTTGTGTGAAACAAGAAATTAATAACAATGAATATAAATCTTACGGTTACTCTCCCATATGTGTAGCCAGTCATTCAGCTAAAAGTAAAAATTTAGTTTAGGTTTAAATCCGTATTTAAGGATCAAAAAATTCAATGATTACATAGTCGTTTCTTTTATGTTCTTTACCTTAATTTTCATAAAGATTTATACTAGAAATTTGAAATCTTTTTACATTCGTTTAATAAGACTTTATTATTAAGTGATTCAATTCCAAATTTCAAGTCTTAAATGTAATCTATTGTATATCATCGGAAATTTCTCTTTCAATTCCTAAAAATAGACTTAAGAATACTATAAACAATCATGAAAAGGCATTCTTTTAAATTAAGATGTCAGATACATACCTAGAATTCATAAATAAATATGATTTAAGATTTCCAAACAAACCGTAAATACTTAACACCTGGTGTGACATTTTATTTAAATACCGATTATATTGTATTTATTGCAAAACAAATATTATTCCCCAACTTACAGATTATTTGTATACCCGAACAGATATATTTAGACTCGTTATATTTGATTTAAAAAGTTTCGAACAAATTCAATAAAAAACTATTGGAATAAATGGTGTGCCAACAAGGGAATTAATGGCAATTGACTTTAACAATTGTGATTGGTTCTTAAAAGGTAAGCGAAATATTATACGTATCCTGTGTCAAAAAGGGGGAGTGGTGAATTATTTGACAGTACATCCTGCTAAGATTCGTTACCATGAGAAGAAATTGGTCATCAGACGAAGTTATATAAGATAGATAAATCTTATATAGTTCAATTAGAAATCTCACTATAATATTTTTAATTCGAGTGAAATTCACATAAGCATGAAAATCAAAACGAGGTAAGGTAATTAATATTGATTTAAAAATTAAAATTTTACATGAAAAGGATGTTTCATTTTCTAAACCTTTTGTAATAATTTCAAAATATTCTTTTTTAGTTTTCTTTTCAGAGAGAAGTTATTTTCCTAATGAGGTGTTTTCCTTTAATTAAAGTACCGTCTCGGGTTCTGTGTATAGAAATTATTTCAGTTTGAAGTGTTTGTGTGCAAAGTGGGTTAAAAGCATTGTGTACGTTGCACCGATCTGCAATCAGTCTTAGGCAATAAATAGGGTATTATCACGGTTTGAGTTCGTTTGTTGACCTAAGATAATTTATGTTCTTGATAATTCTAAGCATCTCATTGCGGAAATGTCAATCTATTTTGCTCTAAAATAATTAAGAATATTCTACACATTATAACATATCCAAAGATGTTTAAAGGTTTTCACACCAATCTATCTCTACACATCAAGATAAGCCACGTTACAATAAGCAAACATAGAACGAGCATCTCTCTTATAATTATGCGTATAACAATGTTTTATTTAAAACTTACCGATTGATCTACGCTCAGCTTGAGTACCGTAAAATTCGTCCAATTCTTTTGCAGAACAAAGGGGCGTATCCACTTGCGATGTCTCCTCGAATTTAGAATAATCTACCTCGTAGCCCTGGCGTTCACGGTTATATGACACTAATGGCACAAATCTATGTCCCCACATTATTTCACTTGTTGTATAACTAGATCGCGCCTGTGTTGTCTGTCCGGTAGATTCAATAGTACCCTCCAGAATAACAACGATTTCAAATTTCTCTTGAAGCACGTCTGCCGCAGACACTCCATAGAAAGGACTGCTTGCATTAATACGATGGACCATTGTAATTGGCCATATAAAGAACAGATTACTATCACAGCCGTCTGCATTTAGTTCTAATTCTGTCTGGTAATGTGAGAGTACTTCGCCTTCCTTTGTTGTTCTCGTTCGAATTAATTGAGCCCGCACACTTGCTCCGATTATATGAGATTTTCTCAAATCACCGACCCTAAACATAAGGCACAATTCTCCGTCTCTCTGACAGACAACAGCATATCTTGAAAATAGAAGCGTTTGCGTTCTATGTTTAGGTCTTGTCATTTTTGCAAATACAATGCCCACCATAAAGGCTTGGATCATCACACCGACTATACTTTGTAGACACATTATGAATATAGCTTCTGGACATTCCTCTGTAGTCGTACGAGAACCATATCCAATGGTGTGTTGAGTTTCAATACTAAATAGAAAACATGAAGTGAAATCGTAAATATTAAAAACACAGGGCTTCCAATTCGATGACTCTTGCATAGGTGGTAAATGCTCTGGTTCCAGGTCTCCGTGTGTAACGGCAATCAGCCACCATATAAGAGCGAACCCCAGCCAAGAAAGTATGAATGATAGCGTGAATATGAGTAGGGTCCAGCGCCATTGAGCGTCGACAAGGGTCGTGAACATGTCCTGGAGAAAACGCAGCCGACGCTGTGAGATCTTCGACTTAAGAATATTACATTCACCATTTTTGAGAATCGCCCTTCGTCTTGTTCTTCTCGAGGCTCCATGTCTATGAGAACGGCTCCTGTAAATAAATACATAAATAACTTAATAGTTTCATGTTGATGATTCTCATTAAACATACGTAGGTGATCAACTGTAAGTGTGAACGAGTAAATCACGCTTATGTACACTACGACCTTCGTCAATGTTAATATTCTTAATGCGAGTAACATATAACATAAACACATAATATAATTATAATTAGAAAATATAAGGACAAAAGAATAACGACGAAACGAAAACAGTACGGTGTTATTGGAGACGGCACAGGTCGATCGACGAACCTCTTGCTGCCTGAAGGATAATAGACTCCTGGTGAAAGATTCCCGTTCCCCGACACTGGTTTCACTTTATACCAGTCGTCGGTGAGGAGTTGGGCCTCCTCGCGGCTGGGTGACTCCGGGTCAGCGTGCATGTCGTGTGCTCGCTTCACTAGCAGCGGATCGTCTGCGTCTTCATCCCCCGGTGCTCGTGTGAATCCTGAAGCATCGCACGCGATAATGTCGCGGTCACGACTGCCTATATCACGCGCGTTAAACGCTTTGTAATTGTATCGCGAAATTCTATATCAAAAATTATCAGTTCGTCTAAGGAAAATCTTTGTGTTTGTTAGAGCCTATCTTGACGTCTGTATACATACAGGCTGAGGTTTCTTGTGTATTTTATATATCATGAAATTATTAATTTAAAATAATATTTAATTAAAACATATATAACTCATTAATCCTTAAGTTTAGTTTAATTTTCTTTAACTTTTATATCCGCAAACTTTCATTTAAAAATGTATATGAAATACTAAAGTATTCCTGGATACCAAATATATTATTATTAGCTTTTATGTAATGTTGACTAATAATTTTTGTTTAAAAGAGTGCAAATAATTAAAAAAACTTTAAAATATAATTTCTACAGCTGTATAAAGACGTGTCTCCTTTAAATTTAATAATCGATTTGAAACTGCAAATTACTTATTGATTTGGCTACTAATTAACAGATCTCGAACTATTTAAATTTGAAGGTTATTCCATATATACTGACCTATGTTTACCTTTAACATGGTAATTAAACTACTAGAGGTTTAACTGTGACAACATAAATATATATTTACCTAATTCAGCTAAAATAACATAATGTTATTAATATTAAAGATTTGAAAATTGTTTTAAACATATGGCATGCAGTTATTAATATTATAAAATAGTAATGTACCTTTTCCCTATCGAATTAAGAAATACTATCGGACTCTTATATTATTATTGATAGGAATTTATATAAATTTTATACGTTTTACGTCAAATATTATTCACTACGATTGATAGACCGAAAGGGATAAAATATGTACGACGACGTATTAGTTGTTTATTTTTAAACAAGATAATAAAACATTTCTGCTATTTAATAATGAAGATGAAAAATAATACATTTTTAAATATGTATACATAATACAAATAATATATTTTTGTGTAACTTATGTTCTGAGGTGCTGTTATATTTTATTATATTAAGATAGATCTCATAGAGAGTATGAAGTTCAAAAGTGTGAATAATAACTACGATCAATTTACTCTATATATTATTTACGTGAGCTAATAGTATTATTTTTAATCAATGAAATTCTAAATAATATTTCATAACTATTTGTACAAAACTGAACAAAGAAAAAAATGTTGAATATATTGTAAGAAATTATATTTTATTTATATCTGCGTTTGTAAAACATATTTACGTGACGCCATTTAAATTAAGACTACTTTATTAATTATCGCCACACCTCCGTGTAAATAACTTGATACACGATTTGTTATTTATTATTGATGTACTTCGGTAAATAAGAGTAATTCCATCGTGATATGAAAATCAGCTCTAATTTGCGATGTTTTTTATTGATTCAGAAATATATTTATTTATAGATTATTCTACGTGATATTGTATTGTAATGTATAAATAAATTTTAAGAACACTTCAATCGCTATGGAAAGTCTTTTTGGATTTTTCTTATATCGGGGTTTTATAAGTTGTATAAATGTCTGAATACATAATAATAGATATTTCGTTATAGTAACACAAAAGTAATAAAACAAAATCGAGTGATAGAATTTTGTCAGTGTCCGAATTACAAATAAATATAGGGACTTTTGCAGTTATTATATTTACGAAAAGAGGATTTTTGTCAATAAGTTACTATTTTGTAATCTAGTGATATTTTAAAAAACTTCTAACGAAACTCCTATTCATATATAACTATATTCATAGAAAATGTAAATTAAAAAATTCATAAGTAAGGAGGATCTGAATCTCTAGCTAATTATATTATTACATCTAAACCTTCTTAATATCATCCTAATCGTTTTACTTAAAGCTTAATTTTTAATACAGCGATATATTTTTGTCGTTCCCGTTAACAAAATACTAAAAAGAAGTTATGTTTATGAATTTATTTTCTATTTTCATAGTTAGGTCTTTTGTTTGTTTTTATTTGTTAAATTCTAGCGATTAGGGTATTCGTTGAAAAAACAAGTGTCCTTAAAGAGTTGTTTCAGACTAAATAAAATATTAAAAAAACTCTTATAGAGTTAAGGGTTAAGGTTGCACCAATTTGTAATATGCAGAAAATTAAGAACACCTCTATAAAAAAAAGCAACAAGATCAAACAGAATCACACAGAGGCATAGCTAGTTGCTTTATGCATTTTCATTTTCCAATACGAAATTTATCCAAACAATTAAAAGTTACTCATAAATAATATCAAGAAGAATCAATATTTAATATTTAATTTCTGCATCTTTTGGGAACAGCGTTATAAGAATATTAGTAACTATTATTAAAGTTTGACTTATAATATCTCGTTCTATGAAATTGAATATAACTAATGTAAAAGTAAAAAACGCATGAAATATTATTCACAATGCAATCACATTTGTTAAATATTAACACCAAATCATTTATTAATGAAATATTGGATGGTTTGCTAGTTTTTTTTACTCCCTAATTCTAAAAATAACTCGCAGCATCCCGATGATGTTATATAAATCAAAATGAACGCGACAGTCACACTCCGTAATTGTACCCTCCACGCAATCATGCACTAGAGAACGCGTGGCCACCCTCGATTATTACTTTGAATGAAATAAATGTAGATAATTATTATGGAAATGTACTGGAAATTAACATTCAACCGTCATATATACGTATTTGATTTTAATACATTTTCATTCCTTTCGTATTTCAGCAGTTTCAATCAAATATCAAACGCAATGAATACAATAATTATAGATCAACAGGTTATATTTCAAATTAAAAGTTTTTTGAACTAAAAGTTTCCGTTATTATCGGACGCAATGGAATCTAGAGATATAATTATATAAAAACAAAGATTAAAAAAGCACTAAATAATCGGCGCAATTTTTATCAATTACTGTACCATAAACCACAATGCGTATAATAATGCTTATTCTATGTTTGTGTCGTCATAGAACATACGTAGTGTTGCCAGTTTTTCATTCAAAAATCTAAGTTTAAACTGTGACCTGCGAAGATCTATATAACAAACGCTCCTTACGCAGTTGACGATACTAACTTGGAATAAACGTAGTGAATGTTAAGAAGTTTCAAGATGTATTTGAATCTTGGTGATCTAATTACTTTAATCATGATAATATATAAAATACTATCGTTTATTATAAGGGCATATGAGGATTTATAGTGGGTTTATTGTTTGAAAAAAATAAAAAGACGCAATTTATCACTATAATCTTGACGTATCAAATGTTTACCGATTTTCACGGATTTTCTAGATTATGAGCTTATCCCCTAGTTTCACTAGTACGAGGGACCTTGACTTTAAAGCCGCATCCTTGACGTGAAATTGAGGCTTTTAGGATTTACTAGTTTTACGACTAGGATATCACGTTCTTCATACAAGATCAATTTAACAAATATCACATGAACATCTTGTCTTTTTGAGAATGCGTATAACTATAATCATATCAAGATTTAAGTTTTTATCGATTGATGTAGAGTTTTCGTATTATATTGCTATTTGCTATGAAGTATTAATATGATAATTTTTGACTTTCTATTTGTAAATATTTTTATATTATACAAGGATACTTTCAGAATATATGTTATACACATATAGATAAAGAAAACCATGAAAAATTTATTTTAAGTATCAAAATTGTGATATTACCCATCGTAAGGCTTGTCACTCCGATTGTTAACCAAAAGTGGAACAGAACTTGGTCAACAACGATAATGACTTTATCACTTTATTTACGTTTTCGTCGCATTTCAGATCACATCATGTACTACTCAAAATATTAAAACACACACTTTAATGGATTTCTATAATAATATATACTCAAGATTGTACACGTTCGCACTTATGTGGAAATTTCACAAAACTATTTTGATAAATAATAAAATTATCTTTGCCCCGATTAGATACTGGGCCTTCGAAGATTCTGATTCACAATCGTCTGTAGAATTAATATTGATATTGCAATAATTATGACTTACGATTGTCAGCCTATTAAGATATCCACCGCATAAAATTTAATTAAACACTAAAACTACAAACTAAACTTTATAATATATTTACGATTTTTGTATTACTTATTAAAAACCGTACCTCTGATTCGTTCCGTTACTAAGTTTTGGCAAGAATTATAATTGTATGTTCAAAGCGGTGTGCAATTCATGTTTTTGCCTTCATATTTATCTGTCATATTGTTTATTGTTAGATTAGTAGATAAAAAACCGGACAAATCCAACTTTTATTTAAAATCCGAGAGTTCCGTACCTTAAAATGGTAACCTGGACTTATTAAACGCAGTTATTCTGTTTATAAATTATAAGATCAGATATGTTCTTAATAAAATTATTCAAACGAAAAAATAAATTGTTCAGACACAAACTTATCTTTGGAACCTAAAATCTGTTGGCACTATACAAAAGTGTAGCTCAGATTCAGATTACCAAATGAAAATAAATAGTTTTGGAAATCATTTAAAGACTTAAAGTACACGGAGCTTGAAAATTTTCTAATGACTAAGGGAATATATCAGCTTTTTCTTTGAATTCATATTTCTAACTTCTAAGACACACCTAAAATTCAAACTACTAAGTCAAGTATGATTTTTTTATTGCTCTATAAGAAAGCGGATATATCTATGTAATTTTTAGTTCACCTTAATATTTCCAAAGTTTCTTCCAGGCTAATTCGGTAGACAGCCAGAGAAAGCGCAAAGTAATCGTAAAAAGAGTTTTGCATACAGATGTTTTTTTTTTTTTTTTTTTTTTTTTTTTTTTTTTTTTTTTTTTTTGTGCGCACTGGGATAAAAATGCTTTACGCATCCCCTCTCCGTCGGGAGACGGGGAGGGGTATGTGGGACTCCCCGGGAAAAGGATTCCCGGTATACCCACTAAAACAACCCAGTGGCGCTCCGACCTCGCCTGACTGACAGGGGGCTGGGAATCCGGTTGCATCCAGCCCCCCGCCTGCGATTGCCCGCCTTCTGGCAGACCCCTCACGCCCCCCCTTGTGGGGGAGGGCTCTGTTGTGGCCGGAGCGCACGGCCATCTCTGGCCGTCGCAGGGGCGGATGAAAGTGGACGCTGTGTGCGCCGCCTTCCGCCCCTCCTTCTTCTGCGGTGCTCTGGAGCTCTCTCGCGCTCTCGCTCCGCCGCCTCCTTCTGTGACATTACGTCTTCGCAGAAGGAGGCAACTGCGGTCCACGCCTCCTCACTCCCCAGCATGGCGGTGACCACACGAGGGAGCGAGAGGTCGCGGCCAATCACTGCCACCAGTGCACGACGGGGCACAGCCCACGATGGGCACAACTCCATGGTGTGCTCTGCCGTGTCCTCCGCATCTCCACACTGGTGGCACGACGGGGACTCCTCTCTCCCGATCCGGTGCAGGTACGATCCGAAGCAGCCGTGCCCGGACAGCACCTGCACCAGACGAAACGAGAGGGAGCCATGTGACCGACTGAGCCAGTCTTTGAGGACGGGCCCAATCGCGTCCAGCGTCCTTCGACCGAACGTTGAGGTGGCGAGGTCCTCTGTCCAGTGTTGGGCGACCGCGTCCCTCGCCTCCTCACGAACGGCTCCCCTCTCAGCGACGCTGGGGCGCTGGCCAAGCGCCCGCTGCTCCACTCTCCATTCGTAGACTCTGGCCAGCACCCACGCCTCGAGCTCCCAAGGAGGGGTGCCAGCCAGAACGCACGCTGCCGCGAGGCTTACCGTGCGGTAAGCCCTCGCCACCCTCTGCGCAATAGCCCTTTGGGGCCTCCGGAAAGCGGCTGCGTTTTTCCTCCTATGGAGGGAGTCCGCCCAGATTGGGGCCCCGTAAAGGGCCACACTTCTAAGTATGCCGGCATATAATCGCCGGCATCGATTCCCGGGTCTCCCAAGATTTGGGAGGAGCCAAGATAGGGCCCCCGCGGTCTTCAACAGGCGCGTCGACAGCCCACTAAAATGAGGGCCGAAGCGCCACCTACTGTCGAGTATCAGGCCCAAATATTTCATCTGGGCCTGTACCCCGATGCGGACGCCCCCCACAAATAGGTGAGCGTCGGGCGGTTGGCGTTGCCGAGACCTATGGAAGAAGACGGCCTCTGTCTTAGACAACGCCACCGTCAGCCCCAGGCGGGAGATCCTGTCAGCTACCAAGGATCCTCCCGCCGAGGCCAGGCTGGCCGCCGACTCGAATTTTCTCCCCCGAGCAGTCAGGAGGGTGTCATCTGCATAGCAGATGATAGACGTGCCTCGGGGGAGGTTTCCTCGCAGGAGCCAGTCGAATCCGATGTTCCACAGGAGCGGTCCAAGAACAGAACCCTGTGGGACACCGGACTCGACGCTGTACCGCCGCAGTTGGCCCGCCCTATTTGCGACGAGGACCGAACGGTCCTCCAAATAGTTTGCTAGGAGGACCCGCAAGTATGAAGGCACTCCATGATAGTGAAGTGCCTCTAGGATGGTGGAGTGGGGGATGGAGTTAAAAGCGTTGGCTATGTCAAAGGACACGGCCAACACTCCATCTCCCGCTTCCATCGCCTCGCTCACCTGATCCCTCAGACGGGACAGGGCGTCCAATGTCGAACGCTCAGCCCGAAAGCCAAACTGAGCGTCAGACAGGTCTGGGCCAATTGTGCCCAGATGTTCCTTGAGGCGGGTGGCCAGCATCCTCTCGAACATTTTACCGACCTCATCGAGTAACACGATGGGTCGGTAAGCCGAGGGGGAGTCCACTGGCCGACCCTCCTTTCGTAGAAGGCACAATTGTCCCTCCTTCCATACCTTCGGGAACCTTTTGGACGCCAGACACGCTCCGAAAAGGTCCCGAAACCTGGAGCCCATCTGGGAAACGGCGATGGCCACCACCCTCGCAGGGATGCCGTCCGGCCCTGGGGCCGTCTTCTTCTTGCGGAGGCAGGCGATCGCCTCCTCCAACTCCTCCTCCGTAACAGGGGGCACCTCTTCCACCGTTGGGGCCACACCGCGCGGCGGGTTCATTGTCGGAGGGGTGAACCTGTCCCTGCGGGGAAACAGGGACTGTACCACCCCATCCAGCAGCGTCGGCTCGAGGGTCTCGGCAACTGGGGGACCGTACGGGCGCAGCTTGTTCCGTGCCGCTTGGAACGGTCTCCCAAAAGGATCGTTGTCGAGACCCTCCAACATTTGCGATCTCGCATGGTCTCGGGCGGCGGCGAGTCTCACCTTAAACGCGTTTTTCGCCTCTACGTATGATGCGTAGAGGCGATCCTCCATGGCGAGATCGCGGGAGCGCCGCCGACGGCTCCTTGTGTACTCTCGCCTGGCCGCCACACAGGTAGCCCGAAGGGCTGCCAACTCTTCCGACCACCAGTACACAGCGCGGCGAGGAGGCGGACGGTGGGACCGAGGCATGCTGGCATTGCATACCTCGGTCAAGGATACCCTCAGTTGGGCTGCCGCGGCGTCCACGTCCTGGACGTTGACGGGCGGCGTGAGCCAGTCCTGGACGAAGGCCGCCTCTTTGGCGGCCCTCTGGTCCAGGCGGGTGAGCGCCCACCGCGGGAAGGGTGACTGGCCCCTCGAACGGTTCCTACCCTGGGAGCCCTGGTCGGCGATATCGAACCGCACATATCGGTGGTCCGATAGAGTCTCCGTCAGCTCCACCCGCCAGTCCACGACACAGGCAGCCAAGGAAGGGGTGGCGAAGGCGAGGTCCACTATGGAGCCCCCCTCTCGCCGCACGCAGGTGTGTACTGTCCCTCTATTTAGGAGGGACAGACCTGACGCCACCGACCACGATTCCACCTCGCGTCCCCGTGCGTCCGTGCGTGGGCTACCCCACGCCACCGACTTGGCGTTGAAGTCGCCCACCACCAAGACCCGGCGTTGCGCTGCTCTGTCGGCCACCATGGCGAGGACTCCGAGGAAATTCTCGAAGTCCGTAAGAGGGCGGTTGGGGGAGAAATAAACCCCTATTAGGGCTATATCTCCCCATGCGGCAGCCACATATCCCGGCCCCTTCTCTAAGAGCGAGATGGGGGGGGAGTCTGTGGAAGACCGCGCAACCAACGCCACCGAGCCATTCTCGTCTCCCAGCCATCTGCCAGGGACTGAGTACGGCTCGGCAACAACCGCCACGTCCACCAACCACTCTGCAAAGGTTTGGACCAGCAGGTCCTGGGCCGCTTTGCAGTGGTTGATGTTCGCCTGGAGAATGCGATAGGGCCCGGCCATTAGTCGGTATTCATTGCATTCCCTTCGGTGGCCGGCACTGGGACTGGGATCGCAGTGGCGGCGGCAGCAGCAGGCCGTGTAGTCACCTGCGCTTTTCCTTTCTTTAGGGGAGGACGGCATTTCCTACCCGCCATAATGTGGTCGGCTGGACGACCACTGTCAGCGCACACGGCGCAGTGTGGCTTGGTGGCCTCACAGGCGGTGGACTTGTGCCCCCCCTTGCCGCAGCGGAAGCACAGGTCTGTGCGCTCCGCATCGCACGGACAGAGGGCCCGGGTGTGACCGATGCCGAAGCACTTGTAGCATCGCATCGGCTCGTCCTCAAGAGCCCGGACACCAGCAGAGCTGAAACCAACCGGGAGGCGTCCTTTCGCCAGGATAGCCTTTGCAGCCACGACTGGGCACTCCAGTCGCAAGCTGCCCATGCCCCCACGGCCAGGTCTTATGGCGCGGCCCTTAATTGCTGCGATGTCGCAGCTCCCCAACGCCGCGACTGCTGCCACGACCTCCTCTTGGGTGACCGAATCGTCGAGATCGGTCACCTCTAGAGTTACGCACTTCACTGGCCTTGCGACTTTGGCCGTGTCTGCGATTGCCTCCTTCAGTTGGTTGGCAAAGGTGTCGGCCTTGGCGCTGCCCTGAGCCCCCGAAAACTCGAAAATTCGGGCCCCGGTTTGAGTCCGTCGGCACGTGACCCTACCCTCACCCGGTTGCACGGGGTCGATATTTGCACGAGCCCGTCGCAGCACGGACTCGTACGTCTCCCCACGTGTAACAGCTTCCGCTGTGAGGGTCACCACTACGGCCGCGGTTTTTGGAGGAGCGAGCTTCCTCCTCTTTCCCGCCGGAGCTTTATTGGCTGCCAGGGACTCAGGTACCGGCTTTTTCCCCTTTCGCTGCTTCTTGCCAACCACCTTCTTCCATGGCTCGTTGGAGGGTGTGGTAGAAGGCAGCAGGGCATCTTCCCTTACAAGAGCTTGGGCGGGCGCTGGAGCAGCGCTGGCTCCCGCCTGTGAGGTAGGGGCCGAAGGGGACTTCTTTCCCTTCCCCTTCCCTTTGCCTGCCTTCGTGGCCTTGGGCTGCTCCTTCTGCGCTGGCGCTGCTTCTTGGGGCGGCGGTGCAGTAGAGGTCCTGTCGAGTGGAGGGCGGAGCCTCTTTTCCGGCAGCAGCCGGTCCTCAATGCCTGCGAAGCAGGCTTTTGTAAAGGCCCTCTCCTCCATGACCACCTTTCGGATGATGTCCTCAAGATTGGAGGGGGCCGCCGCCACCGCCGGACCTTCCGAGGTCCCTTCAGACCTTGCCATAAGCTCGGCAATGCGAGCGTGCAGCGCAGACATCTCCTTCTGCAGGCGGTCAACTTTCGCCTGCAGTAACCGCGTCTCGTTGGACGTAGTGCGCTGCGAAAGTTCCCTAACAATGCCCATTAGGCTGGCTGCCCGACATTTGAGGGCCTTTTGGAAGGTCCCCTTTAGGTTTGAGGACTTGGAGGCCACCTCAATAATTTCCCCCTGGTCCTCGAGAGCCATGCGCTCCATCTCCTCTACGGAGTGGTCCCCATAGCGGACGGTAACTGCGCCGTAGCCGGCCTTAGCTCTGGTCGTCCGCGCGACCTTCTCCTTAGAGGCAACCACTTCCTCTAGATCCGCCTCTATTATGGCCCGTTTTGCGGGTGTCCTGGCAGCGTCGGGAGATCCCCCGGACTTTTGTCGCAGGAATCGCTTCCTGGACTCGCGGCGGATCGAACCACAATCTGACACGCTCATCACGGACTCGGTGTCCGAGTAGTCCGTGGTTTGGCCCACACTATGAAGGGTTGCCGCCGACGGTGCGCGGCTAGCCTCAGACGCTGATGCGTCCCGTGAGTGGCCCTGAGAAGGGCCTTTGGGTTGGCCCTGAGAAGGGCCTTGGGGTTGGCCCTGAGAAGGGCCTTTTGGGAGGCGCCGTCTGGAGGCGGCCCTCGGTTGTTTGGAACTCATGTTCACAACCAACCACAGATCACGATCGTCGCGAAGGATCACCAACCACTGGCCACTGCGTTACCGCGCACCAAGTGGGATGGGATACCTTACGATTTCGAAGCGCAGACTATTAAAGCTTCGAAGCACAGTGTTCGTTAGCCGCCGGCCTGCCACTCCGTTACGGTGGTCAGGCGCGACGTTGCCCAGGGGTCACTACGAGGAAGTCAACACTGTGGGGGGACCCCCAGCATACAGATGTACCGAACCCTATGAATATCACTATTCAACGCTTTCAATTCAACAAAACGAGATTATACTAGTTTTAAATATTTGATACTTCACATATATAATAAGGTTCTATCTTTTAAAAAGTTTATTACATACAATTTTAACACATATTTATTAACTAAATGCGAAATAATAATCTTTAAGGCTCATACAAACACATATCTTTGTTAACAGAAGTACTCTCGAGTATGTAAATTTTGAACTATATATACTTGTAGAACAATAATATAGCTATTTTTTATTAACTCATTCCTTTAATAATTTTTATATTTCCTTCTATCGTTATGAATTTTCTTTAATAAAGATAAGTTTAACAATACTAATCAGGTAATCCCAGTGTTTGTCATTTATGTTGAATGTTGACGTATCTGTTTGTACAACATCAGATTAACATTTTACAAACGCTATTAAATATAACAAACGTGTCACGAATACTACCGATTCTTTTGAAATAAATATTAAATTGGTAAAACTGAATTAAGGTATATAATATTTATATAAGTAAGGGGAAAACAATCAGGAAGCAATTTGTTTTATATATTATATATTTCACCCCATTCATTCTTTTAATTATGATTTTCAATGACCTTGCTAACTATAAATTATTTAATCTTTTTTTGTTTCATTTAAGATTAATTACTTCATAGCAATTGTGTTATAATTATAAACTACGTATATCTCGGATAAGTTTTAAGTTGATTTTCTGATTTATACAATGAAATGGCTTATGTATCGTTCATAATTTTTTTCATAATGAAAATGTCCATAATATATATATATATATGTATATGTGAAGATTCTTGTTTATTCACCCGTAAATACCCAACATTTTCCAAGATGGATACTTCGTGAGGAATTCATTATTATGAAAATTTTTGCATAAATATGTATTTATAAATATATAACGTATATATGTTAGTCAGTATTTGAGTCCATAATAAAATATGTATATATTTTTTTGTTAGCAGCGGTCTCCTAATACCGTTGTGCTCTCCGTTTTTAGGTAGATGACGAGTTTTATAGTTACTCATTGATTTTTTCATAGCATTATTAACCAATATTTTAAAATCACTGAATGGCATAAAGTTATTACTTAAGATCATGCTTATGTAAGTATTTTTTTTAATAAAACTAATATTTTCGGATGTACTATTTGTTTTTTATTTTTTTAAACTACAGCTCCCGACGTTTCGGTTACTTTGCAGCAAGCGTAATGTCGGGCAGACGGGATGAAAATGTCGTGTACATTAAAATACCCAATAAGAACACCTGAAAATATTAGTTTTGCGTAAATCGTGCCTCAATGATTGTAGTGTAAAATATCTATATAGCTCTTTAAAATTGATACACCTTATTAAAATTTCAAAGTAGTTTTCTTTTGGTACTTTTAGTATGAAATTATTCTATACTTAACAACCAATTATATTTTACTTGCACTGTAGCTTACAGTGCAAGTAAAATGTAATTGGTATGTAAAAATAACTAAGCTTAGTTATTTTAAAACAGAAACAGTTAATATTGCAAAAACTCACAGTCTTAGATTTGAAACATGAAATGAATTTTTATTGGATAATAATTATACAAGGATTAAGAATGTGATTTAATCTTGTCATAAAATACGTTTTATTCTTGTTGAATTTAACGTAAAAAATATACTCGTAATTCGATGTCAATTCAATTACAAATCTTGTTTTATTTTTCTGTTTTATGAGGCTTGGATTTTACCTCTTTAAACTTGTAATAAATATAAATGACGTATTCAGATAGTCACAAAATTCCAAGAATGTTTTTTATTCAATAAAATGGGAATTAAAAAGTTTGTATAATATAAACAATAAATATTATTTTCATTCATTACTCTTTTAAGTTCAGTTTCATTAACAATTAATAAGATATTGCCAATATCTATGATCTCAATCATATTAATGTCAGTGATTTTGTAATTCTTCCGTATTACATCAGAATTTATTCGGGGTTTAAAAATAAAAGTTGAACTAAGGTTCGAGACGCTCATAAGATACACCTGGTATTGTAAGCGTATAGACGTCTTAAATGTGTTTTTTATCAAATAATACCTGCTGAAAACATCATGAATTTTTAATTATCAGTAACATAATATGATCATACCTACAAGTCTCATGTCTGTATACAGTGCTATGGCCGATGGAGCTACTGTATGTGGGCACTCTATGAAGACTGCTTGATTGTCTTATCATCGGTGGCCTTAGCAACCCGCCGTCGTATCCCAATCCCAGCATCGGAGACTCCATCACTGAACTATCTAGACAGCTAGTTTCATCCGTTTCCTCTTCGATAGCACCCGGCTTGTAGAAGATCTTCCCAGCCGATAGGGCCGGTCTGGACTGGATCTCCTTTTGGCCTTCATCCTTCCTTAACTGCATTTCATAGTCCGAAGCGTCTGTACTCATCCTTATTTATTATATTCGTCACGATACTCTAACACCGTTTAAGTCATACATTCTTCTTGTAATGACACTAATACTGTCGTTATGTGACATCATTTCGTATATGTTTAACGATTTATTGGCATTCATTGGTGACGAATATCTGTAAGAGAAAAGATCTTTGTTTAACAAAAGTAAATGAACTAACCACCAGATTAAGTGTAAGTGTAAAAAGCCCTGAAAACTTAAAGTAATTTCATGTTATATTATACATATTTATTTGTTCTTGCCAGATATTATATATATATATATATATATATGTATATCTAGACTAAAGCGAGGCTCAATGAGACAATTTTTCCAGACAGCTAAAGCTTTATATGAATTCATGCTAAGTATTTCTGTATGCTATTTAATTATAAACATATTAATTTCAAAAAAATTTATAAAGTAATCTAACGTGCTTTAAAAAAACATAATTACAAAAAAACTATAACGTATAAGTGTTATTCAATAAAAATCTTTACAAAAAAGTATTTGAATAGAATAGAAAGTATTAAATAATCTTTATGTTTCAAGTAAATATGCATAGTCACTATTAGATTTTACAAAACCCTCTACAACTAAATATCATTTAAGTATTGTAGTGGTATCGTTGTCAATTAATCGTAATAGTCATTTAATCAAGTAGTCATAGGTAAAAATGCCTTACAATATTTTGCAAGAAGCTGATGCCCTTAGTGAAATGAAAATGTAATGCTTTCGAATAAAAAAAGCTACAAAAATGTATCCATTTGGGAGCTACGATATCACAGACAAACACACATACACACAATTCGACGTCAAACTTATAACATCCCTCTTTTATCTACTACTTCCTGGTAATTTCCCTGTTTTAGCCAGGGTCTGCTTTACATGTTGTATATAGTTTTGGCTAATTGTTTTTACGACCGGCCGCCTGCCTGACATCAACCCTCTTTGGGAATTCATTAATCAGTGATGTCTAAATACTCTCAGAAAGTACATATGACTTGGAAAAATCACATTGGTACTTGCCAGGATCCCAGCCGTGCCCTCATGCATGAGAGGCAGGAAAAATACTCTACTATCTCTAATATAGATTGAGATATTACAATCATAATTAAACACTAAAAGATTTCACTTTTGTAATAAATAAAAAATATTTCAAATAAATTAGTGTTGTGTGTGTCAACGAAATAAACAGTGACATGATAATTTACATATTTTATGAAAAACGACATCTGTTGTCGAATAGTTATAATCATACTTTTTAAAATTTTTGTTCACATTTATTATTTCTGAAGCTTCACAGAAACATCGAATACATTAAGATTTTCTTTTGAAAAAATCTTCTATTTTTATAATGAAGATATTACTAATACGACTAGGTAAACACTGCTATACACGAAACCGCCTGATTATTTATTAAAGCAAAGGTCTCTTATAGAATAAATTTAATATACAATTAAATAGGCGCCATTCAAGCCAAAAAAGTGTTTACAACCCAAAACGATTTCGTTAATTTTATAATGATTGTATATCCTTTGTAACTTGTAATTGAAGTTGTGCTTTGCGGTATTTATAAATAATGGCGGAAGAATAGCAAAATTTACTCAAATATTATTGTCTCGAGTTCCTGCGTTTTGACACGAAGTGTCCTTGCACTCATTAGGATGTTCCTGATCTCCATGACAACGAACGGATGCCTTTATTTCCTCCCACTAAGATGTTAGATATTGCGGAAAATGAGTTATGACTTTATTCGCACCAATGGTAGGAAATGAATAGTCATTGTAGTTCGTAGTTATTGTAATTCTTACTTGTTATTGTTGGTGTATTGTTTTAAAGGTGCGAATGTTCTTGATGAAAACTAAAAGCACGATGCAAAAATACTTAACGACCAATCGATTGATTGGTTTGCAAATTAAACTTTTAGTTGCTGTAATTAGAAACAAAAACTCAAATTTTATCTTCACTTAATAGCGTTACTTCTATCATTAAAATTGGACGAAATCAATTTCTTTAGACCGTGAAATTTATTTCAGTTTACTGAGATTTCACGGAGTTACGTAAATACTTAGCACTCTTAATTAAGCGAAGAACCTCTTTGAATAAAATCTAGCTAATCCATCTATTTTTTCATATAAAAAAAACGATCAAGTAATTTCGAGTACCAGACAGAAAACTTAATAATGAATAAGAATTTGTAAGAATATACGGGTGACACTAAAACATAGATCATACGATAGTCAAATGTATACCTGGAGCCGAGGCCAATTTAAATTACTGTGTCTGAACAGTAATTAATAATGAGTTCGTTAGCTGCTATTCTTATGACGTGCTCTCACGTGAATGTCAAACATAATGCCAAGTATGACAACAATGAGACATAGAAAATAAGATGGCGTTAAAATTATACCAAACATTAATAAATATATCACATAATCTATATTGATAAAACGAATATGACATAGTTGTTCTTTATTAAGTTCTAGAACTTTTCGCGAACTTACTAATAAGTTATAAGTTACGCTAGATTAAAATATGTAGTATCCATAAACAAAATTCTTAAAATTCTTATTCATTAATCATATCTGTAGTGTTCGCAGCCTCGGGTCACGCTTGGTCTATATTAATTGTTACTACTGACCCCATAATTTACATTGAACAATAACTAGGTGTAATTTTTACTATGCATTCAATTATAAACTGTTGATAATTTTTTATATTCATAAACGGAAGTGATGTTATGAAATAGTTTTTTTAATATACAATACAGTAAAAAAGCTCAAATTTTTAAAGCATCTGTCAATTAATCTTTAAAACAAATATATCTTTTATCTGGAATGTATGGTCTCTGTTGTATGATTTTTAAATATATGTATGTATGTATACGGTAAAACCCTACAAATTCAGTCATGCTAATAATAATAATTATAGAGATTTGACAACTTTTTTGTATACGGAACTTTAAAATTTTAAGATACTTAGTTTGAAATCTGCATTTAACCTTTTTGATGTAGTAAGTATTGTCTTTTCTTCGTTCTTATATCCGCATTGCTACTTTGTACTATGACATTCGAAGCAGGAAGTTTCTATTTTGGGAGACAATTGATTGCAATCTCAGATCGACTCCTCGTGGTCCTCTCTCTGATTTAACTGAGCGAGCAATATAAGAACAAAGTGATAGAAATGACGTTATAACATCATACGACTTTAAGAGATTCGTCTCAATGTTATATGGGGAAATAACTGAGTGGTAAATTTTGTCTAAGACTGTAAGGAATAGGTTTTTACGTGAAAACCGAGATACATAATATTGCCATAAAAGAAAATCTATTTTGAAACATTATTTTCATTCTGTAAGTATTTATGAATTAAATAATATTAATGAGTATTAGTTTATTTTATATTTACTTTAAAGTGTGACTCAACATTGAAATAGGTATATGGCAACAACTAGACTTGACACACGGGAGATTAATTAATGTGGGTTATATCAGACTTATTTTAATGTTTTTTTTTTACTTTTTTTTCATTAATACAACATATTTAAATTTTATTCCTTGAGTGCCAGCTATAATACTTAAATTATAATTCATACTGACATTATGAAAACTTACTTTTTATTTACTTAGAAAATTAATAAAAAAATACTATGTAGAAAGTATATATATATATATATATATATATATATATATATATATATATATATATATATATAAGTATATATATATATATATATATATACTTTCTACATATATATATATATATATATATACATAATAATTTATGATTCAAATAAAAAAAAACAATACATTATCTTCAAAAAAAACATTATATATATTAAAATAAGAAGCAAAACTATTTTCAAACGTGATTTCTTTGTAATGCTCGTTTTCCATCATAATCACTGAGAGGAGATAACTGAAGAAATATTAGCAATTCATATTAAGAATTGAACAATTTACAGAAGATTTGCATATTAGAATTGTCCTAGCTTCATAGATAAGTAAATATTATATGAAATGAAGATATTTTCTAATTTCGGATACAGGATAAAAGAAAACTGGGATCATACATACCATGTCCTAATATTCAAAAGGATGACAGAAAAATTTGCATTAATTACAATCACAACTAGCACTTTTTAAAGATCTTGAATTCCTTTGTGACCATTTTTCTTTTGTCGATCATAAAGTCTTATATTTAAGCTAAGATCACATTTGTATTTGGATGTTTTAATCCCTGGATTCGCGAATCCTTTGCGTGCGACCTGAACGCCAGGATAGCGGTGACTGTCAAGCGTGCAGACTCTACCGTGGTACCTAAACCAATTGTAAAGTGACTTTATTTGTTAACTGGCCACGCGCTCGAAACAATTGATGTACCACTGTTAGTTGGAGATGAGATTTAAATAGTCATTTGTTAGTTCATATGTTATAAAATTATAAATGTTATGTTTAGATTATGAAATTCTACCTCTCTAACCAGGACGGCTGCTCAATTAGACAATACAGAAGGAGAAAGTTTTCGAAAAACTTTATTTAGTTTTTTTTTTCTGATGGAGTCCCGTGAGCATAAATTAATAGATTATTTATGATACTCAGAAAAATTAATTTTTGTTCCATACTGTGATTGTAAGACACAATTGCAGCTGAAGAGTAGTAAATATCTGATCCATACTTTCTATAATTTACTCCAAATATCTTCTATATAACAAAAAAAGATGTGTGTATTTAATCAATTTGTTATATTTATTTGTAACGAAAAATAAACATAATAAAATTTTCAAATAATGTAGCTTATACATTGGCTTAATACACCCGAATTAATTTGAACAGAACGCATCCATAATCAAGGCAAAAACGTTCGACAAAATAAGCCTAATACTCTCATCAGAAATGATTTAAAGACTAAACAATAAGTATTTCATACAATTGTGCAAGTTTCGTTCTTGAAAGAATCAAAGAATAGTTGTCAAAGTCAAAGAAAAAATGTAA